GACAATCTAAACTTGGCTGAACACTGGAATAATTTATTTTGTATTTTAGATTTGTAGAGATTAGTTTTTTTCACTTTGATGTTAAATAGTTCTGCTGATCAGCAAAATATTTATCAGTAAAACAGGAAGGAGGGGCATTCTTTTTATGGGCGCTGTATATGTCTAACCTTTCTCATGCAAACATGTACTTGTGACATTTTTACAGCAGATTAAAGACTCAGATTCCTCCGAGTCAAACACATCGTTATTAACACTGATCAATCATTTATGTCTTATGATCAATATTTCTCTATTGCTAATATTTCTTCACAGCGAAAAAATTAAAATTCACAACAACAACAAGATCAATTTGTTTAAAAAATATTAAAACCAAGGTGAAGCTGCGCCCCTGACAAGCCCGCTTTCTGACCCAATCACAAGACGTGACGGCTGATAGTCGTCTGACAGTCGGCAGAGTGACGTCTGACAGTCGGCAGAGTGACGTCTGACAGTCGGCAGAGTGACGTCTGACAGTCGGCAGAGTGACGGCTGACAGTCGGCAGAGTGACGGCTGACAGTCGTCTGACAGTCGGCAGAGTGACGGCTGACAGTCGTCTGACAGTCGGCAGAGTGACGGCTGACAGTCGGCAGAGTGACGTCTGACAGTCGGCAGAGTGACGGCTGACAGTCGTCTGACAGTCGGCAGAGTGACGGCTGACAGTCGTCTGACAGTCGGCAGAGTGACGTCTGACAGTCGGCAGAGTGACGGCTGACAGTCGTCTGACAGTCGGCAGAGTGACGTCTGACAGTCGGCAGAGTGACGTCTGACAGTCGGCAGAGTGACGGCTGACAGTCGGCAGAGTGACGGCTGACAGTCGTCTGACAGTCGGCAGAGTGACGGCTGACATACGGCTGACAGTCGGCAGAGTGACGGCTGACAGTCGTCTGACAGTCGGCAGAGTGACGTCTGACAGTCGGCAGAGTGACGGCTGACAGTCGTCTGACAGTCGGCAGAGTGACGGCTGACAGTCATCTGACAGTCGGCAGAGTGACGTCTGACAGTCGGCAGAGTGACGGCTGACATACGGCTGACAGTCGGCAGAGTGACGGCTGACAGTCGTCTGACAGTCGGCAGAGTGACAGTCATCTGACAGTCGGCAGAGTGACGTCTGACAGTCGGCAGAGTGACGGCTGACAGTCGTCTGACAGTCGGCAGAGTGACGGCTGACAGTCGTCTGACAGTCGGCAGAGTGACGGCTGACAGTCGTCTGACAGTCGGCAGAGTGACGGCTGACATACGGCTGACAGTCGTCTGACAGTCGGCAGAGTGACGGCTGACAGTCGTCTGAGTGACGGCAGAGTGACGTCTGACAGTCGGCAGAGTGACGGCTGACAGTCGTCTGACAGTCGGCAGAGTGACGTCTGACAGTCGGCAGAGTGACGGCTGACAGTCGTCTGACAGTCGGCAGAGTGACGTCTGACAGTCGGCAGAGTGACGGCTGACAGTCGGCAGAGTGACGGCTGACAGTCGGCAGAGTGACGGCTGACAGTCGTCTGAGTGACGGCAGAGTGACGTCTGACAGTCGGCAGAGTGACGGCTGACAGTCGTCTGACAGTCGGCAGAGTGACGTCTGACAGTCGGCAGAGTGACGGCTGACAGTCGTCTGACAGTCGGCAGAGTGACGGCTGACAGTCGGCAGAGTGACGGCTGACAGTCGTCTGACAGTCGGCAGAGTGACGGCTGACAGTCGTCTGACAGTCGGCAGAGTGACGGCTGACATACGGCTGACAGTCGGCAGAGTGACGGCTGACAGTCGTCTGAGTGACGGCAGAGTGACGTCTGACAGTCGGCAGAGTGACGGCTGACAGTCATCTGACAGTCGGCAGAGTGACGTCTGACAGTCGGCAGAGTGACGTCTGACAGTCGGCAGAGTGACGGCTGACAGTCGTCTGACAGTCGGCAGAGTGACGGCTGACAGTCGTCTGACAGTCGGCAGAGTGACGGCTGACAGTCGGCAGCGTGACGTCTGACAGTCGGCAGAGTGACGTCTGACAGTCATCTGACAGTCGGCAGAGTGACGTCTGACAGTCATCTGACAGTCGGCAGAGTGACGGCTGACAGTCGGCAGAGTGACGGCTGACAGTCGTCTGACAGTCGGCAGAGTGACGGCTGACAGTCGGCTGACAGTCGGCAGAGTGACGTCTGACAGTCGGCTGACAGTCGTCTGACAGTCGGCAGAGTGACGTCTGACAGTCGGCAGAGTGACGTCTGACAGTCGGCAGAGTGACGTCTGACAGTCGGCAGAGTGACGGCTGACAGTCGTCTGACAGTCGGCAGAGTGACGGCTGACAGTCGGCAGAGTGACGGCTGACAGTCGTCTGACAGTCGGCAGAGTGACGGCTGACAGTCGGCAGAGTGACGTCTGACAGTCATCTGACAGTCGGCAGAGTGACGTCTGACAGTCGGCTGACAGTCGGCAGAGTGACGTCTGACAGTCGGCTGACAGTCGTCTGACAGTCGGCAGAGTGACGTCTGACAGTCGGCTGACAGTCGTCTGACAGTCGGCAGAGTGACGTCTGACAGTCGGCTGACAGTCGTCTGACAGTCGGCAGAGTGACGTCTGACAGTCGGCTGACAGTCGGCAGAGTGACGTCTGACAGTCGGCTGACAGTCGGCAGAGTGACGGCTGACAGTCGGCTGACAGTCGGCAGAGTGACGTCTGACAGTCATCTGACAGTCGGCAGAGTGACGTCTGACAGTCGGCTGACAGTCGGCAGAGTGACGTCTGACAGTCATCTGACAGTCGGCAGAGTGACGTCTGACAGTCGGCTGACAGTCGGCTGACAGTCGGCAGAGTGACGTCTGACAGTCATCTGACAGTCGGCAGAGTGACGGCTGACAGTCGGCTGACAGTCGGCAGAGTGACGGTGACGACTGGCAGCCGTCACTCTGACAGTCGTCTGACAGTCGTCAGCTTACTTAGAGTGCAGCTTACACGCCATATGGTTCAGGGAGGATGGGGCGTTAATGTCAGATCGTCTTGGTTCCCAAAACAACTTATTGACCTCCAAAGAAAATTAAAAGAAAAATAAATCGATTGATAAGTTAAAAAACAGCTCCTATACAGTATTACTGTTTATAAATATATTAACAGTATTACTGTATACAATCTGAGTGCACAACACACACACACACACACACACACACACACACACACACACACACACACACACATGCAGTACAGCAGAAACCTGATTCACACTTTCAGAATAAAACAGTCGGAGTTTCTTTCTGCAGATTTCTGAACAAACATGGCTTCTCCTGCAGGCTGTTAACGAGTTTCAGTCTGTTTTATAATAAAGAACACGAAGTGTAAATGTAATACGAAACACAAACAGATTATAAAGACCTTTAAACTCTGCAGTTTAAAAAATACTACATTTTTCATCCTCTACTGTTACTTCAGTCACGTAGTTTCTATTCAACTCCGAGTATAAAACAGGTGAAAATCTGTCTGCAGCACTTCCTGTCTGAAATGACGACGACGTCTTTCAGCCGTTTGATTTCCTGCTTTTAAAGTGAAATAAATAAAGTTAAATGTTTGCGGTTCAAATTAACAACGAGATATTTATCTTTCTTATTTTATATATTTAGAAATGACAATATTTACACCGATGCTTCTGTTTCGTGAGGTGTTTCTCTGTAAACAAGGTGGAAAGAATATAAAAAAAAAAAAGATGTTTCAGTTTAGTCCAGAACAACAACAACGACCCAAACACCTGCAGCCTCAAACAGGAGGTCGCCCGTCAGCCTGCGACATCATCAGTCTGTATCTGTGATGTCATTCAACAGGGTGAGGACCAACAGGTGTCACCTGACTGTGTGTCCCGGTGCTTCCAACAGAATTCCAGGTTTTCCAGGATCCTGTTAAGTCTTTTAAAAACACGATGTGTTCGATCTGTGCAGTGAAAATGGAAGACAAGCTTTAAGTCGTTCATCTGTTCTGAGCTCTGTTGGTAACAACATGCTGTTCTCTGATTGGTCAGATGGGTGCTGTGATTCATTATTGCGTCTGTCTGTGTAAACAGCAGGCTGCCTTCTTCTTATCTCGATAAATAATATTTCCAGACATCAGTTTGTTTTCTTCTTCTTTAGTTTCACTTCCTCAGCAGCAATTTCTCCCCCACAAAAAAAAAAAAATCATCATCGCTTCCTTTCCTTTCGGTTTCCCTTTGTTTTGTCCTGCAGCAGACTCCGCCTCCCTGATGGTGTCAGAAGAGCAGACTCCGCCTCCTGGCTGGACTGTTCGCTGGATAGAAAAAAAATAAAATCATATATAATCATATCACATGAACTTCCTCCACAGATGGAGTTGTCCAGCTGTGCGATGCTACTAAATGAACCTTGTAGTGAGATTGTTTTATCAGCTTCTACAGCTTTTACGGTTAAAATCGACTGACTCCGGTGACGCCGCGTTACAGCTGCGACAAACTAGGCCTCATGTTGGCCCACATCTTTACAGAGACCCCATTAACATCTGGGATCAAGAAGTTGGCGGAAAGTAATATATATATACAGTGGGGAGAACAAGTATTTGATACACTGCTGATTTTGCAGGTTTTCCTACTTACAGAGCATGTAGAGGTCTGTAATTTTTATCATAGGTTCACTTCAACTGTGAGAGACGGAATCTAAAACAAAAATCCAGAAAAATCACATTGTATGATTTTTAATTAATTTGCATTTTATTGTATAACATAAGTACTTGATACATCAGAATAGCAGAACTTAATATTTGGTACAGAAACCTTTGTTTGCAGTTACAGAGATCATATGTATCCTGTAGTTCTTGACCAGGTTTGCACACACTGCAGCAGGGATTTCGGCCCACTTCTCCGTACAGACCTTCTCCAGATCCTTCAGGTTTCGGGGGTGTCGCTGGGCAATACGGACTTTCAGCTCCCTCCAAAGATCTTCTATCGGGTTCAGGTCTGGAGACTGGCTAGGCCACTCCAGGACCTTGAGATGCTTCTTACGGAGCCACTCCTTAGTTGCCCTGGCTGTGTGTTTCGGGTCGTTGTCATGCTGGAAGACCCAGCCACGACCCATCTTCAGTGCTCTTACTTCTTAATTGCGCCAACAGTTGTTGCCTTCTCACCAAGCTGCTTGCCTGTTGTCCTGTAGGCCATCCCAGCCTTGTGCAGGTCTACAGTTTTATCCCTGATGTGCTTACACAGCTCTCTGGTCTTGGCCATTGTGGAGAGGGTGGAGTCTGTTTGACTGAGTGTGTGGACAGATGTCTTTTATACAGGTAACGAGTTCAAACAGGTGCAGTTAATACAGGTAATGAGTGGAGAACAGGAGGGCTTCTTAAAGAAGAACTAACAGGTCTTACAGGTTGGTAGGTGATCAAATACTTATGTCATGCAATAAAATGCTAATTAATTATTTAAAAATCATACAATGTGATTTTCTGGATTTTTGTTTTAGATTCTGTCTCTCACAGTTGAAGTGAACCTATGATAAAAATTAAAAAAGTAGGAAAACCTGCAAAATCAGCAGTGTATCAAATACTTGTTCTCCCCACTGTATGTATGTATGTATTTGCATATATATATATATATGCAAATATGCAATTTCACATCATTTTGGGCCTTATTTTTTACCATATCTGTGAACAAATATTTGGAAAAGCTGGAGCAGTAAATAGACAAAACTTACACAACGCTTAAGGGTGTAACTTATGAAAGAAGTGTACTCGGGAGGAATTACAGCTTAGGGAAAATCATTCAGACTTTGGATAACTATGACCTGGATGACTGAGAATCTTCAGACATTCAGTCAGTCAGTTTTGATTCTCTCCACAATAATTCTACCTTCATGGCACAGCAGCACTCAAACCATTTTGGGCATCACCACCTTATAACTGCAGGAAAACCTCGTTAAAATGAGCTCAGAGTCATTACAGATACGACTGTTTCTTAATTTACAGCTTCTGACACGTATCTGTAGACGTGTAATTTAACTAGCAGCATGTGCACAGGACAAATCTGTGGGTTACACCAGTTTAGTCTCAGCTTGTGCCCGATGTTCTCAACACTAATTACGAGGCAGCCACAAAAACTCACTGTCACGGACGATCAAACACTCGCTACGCAGCTCCCGATTCCCAAAAGGAGTTACGCTGCTCTGATAACGTAGGTGTCCGTGTGTGCGTTACCTGGGTCAGGAGTGACTGTCGGTCTGATTGCTTCTTTTTCCAGTTGAACTTCCGCCACACTGAAGATGGACGTCGCTGAAACAACAATCGGAGAGACTCTGTGACATCATAGTTCACGGTGACATCACAGGGGTCAAAGGTCGTGTTTAAACTTACTGTCAGGAAGCGTCATCACTCTGTTTCCGAGGTTACTGAAGTAACGATGGCGCATCGCCTCGTCTGCCGAGATCCTCTTCTTCCCCTCAAACTAAAGTTCAGATTAAAACTTTACCAGCAAAGTTTGATATCTAATTTATCGACACAATCATCATCTTTGGTTAATGATCTTAAAATTTAAACAGTGTGTAAATGAGATTTTAAAAAGTCAGGAGGGTTCCCGATGCTGTCTCTCACCTCTGTAAAGTTTATTTATTAGTAATATAAACAGTAGTTTTAAGAGTTGCAGCAGTCTGCTTCACTTTCTCAACTGGGGAGAAAACACAAAAGCACAGCGAGACGTTTACTGACCTGCAGGAACTTTGACAACAGCTCCACTCCTTCACTGCTGAGCCTGAACACACAGACACACAGTTACATTACATTTATTCATTTAGCTTTTATCCAAAGCAACTTACAATTGCTGTACATGTCAGAGGTCACACGCCTCTGGAGCAACGAGGGGTTAAGTGTCTGGCTGAGGGACACGTTGGTGTCTCACAGTGGATTCGAGAATAAATCGTCCTTCTCCTTTCAGCCTCTCTGGGTAGCTGCTGTAACTATTACAAGAGACCCAGGAACAGCGTTTGACCAGATCTTTGAAAAATACAGCAAAAAAGGCAAGAAAACGACTCTTTCTGCATCAGAGTCAACGGAGCGCAGCCATGAAAGTGTCGGACCTCAGTTAGAGCGAGGCCTATACTGCCCTGTGATTGGCCAGCTGTGTATTCGGGGCGTGGCTTAGCGAAGGGTCAATTACAAAATAAAAACTATAAAATTGCAGCAGAACTCAAAAGCTTCTGTCTTCCTTGTCACCACGTTATACACATTACAACACAATAAGCAAAAATACCACTGTAGGCACTGACGGAGCATTTCTTTTAAGTGGGACGTGGACTCTTACTCTCCTATATTGAATAAGTAAGATCATTCCCCATAAAGTAATAGTAATATAGCCTAGATATTAAATATTAACCCAGGGAATCAATGCATTAACCAGAAAACTGCATAAAACGGTCTGTTTCCAGATGCCATGACAGAGGCTTTCCACAGATAAACCATGGGACAAAGTGAAACCCACATTATAAAGCAAATTCTTTTCATTTTAGATTTGAAACTCAGGCTCCAGCAGATAGACGCCACAGACTGGGGGACAGGACAAGGGTCAGACCGTTTTTTAGAGCTAATGAGGAGAAAGGTCACCGAAAAAAATACCCGCAGTTAGTTGGAACCGATCTGACGACCTTCCAAACGGGAGTCCCGCACAGGACCGACTGAGCTAAATTTTCACACAAGCATCTAAAGATTTGAAATAATTTGACTTTGTTCTGGCCCGCCACGTAACGGCTTGAAAAAATGTGGCCCGCTGCCAGACTTGTCTGTATATCTTAACTCCGCTGTACATGTTGTAAGATAAAGTATGACTGCACTTCATTATATTAGCTCTGTACCTGTTCTCTGCATAATGACAGGAAGGATGACGCTAATCTAATCTGGAAGATCCTAAAGCCCACGCTCATCTCACTTCCTTTAGCTCTGCTTTTAACACCATGCGCCCCCACATGATGCGTTTCAACTCCTTTATTATTAGCTCGTTTAGTTCCTTTTTAACCAATCACACACACACACACAGCAGGTCAAAGTCAACAGTGTGCGGTGTGGTTGTGTACCTGGGCGTGTGGTTACTGAGTCTCTCTGCTCGGTACTGAGGATAGTTGTACGTCACAAAATCGTCATTTGAACTGATCCCAGGCCAGCTCCGCTCTGTGGGAGTACCTGCACACAAAACACACAAAATACACATCAAATACACACAAAGTACATCAGCTGGATTAAGTAATCTGTAGGCTTGTTCCGATTGGCGATTGGCATTTGAAGGGATGATCAGCGATTGGATTTTCATGCGCCGATATTGACGTAATTTTAATTCTAATTAAATTAATTATATTATTAATTTAATTAATTATCTGCACCACACTGCAGGGTTTCACATTCATTGATTTGAAAGCCCTTTTGTTCCATGCTGGCATTTCACTGGCATGCTGTAACGTAACCCCGCCCCCTGGAGATCAGATCGCCAATGATCAGACGATATGAAAATAGAGAAGATCGCCCAACCCAGCTTTTCTGAAAACAAAAGAGCTGATTGGTTCTCAGTGATGACAAAGAAGCTGATTGGTTCTCACCCAAGAGTTTGAAGATGAAGTGAAGCTCCTCCTCCACGGTGGAACCAGGAAACAGAGGTCGACCCGTCACCATCTCATAGAAGATACAACCAACCCCCCTGCAGGTGGAGAGACAGACAGGTGGAGACAGGTGGAGAGACAGGTAGGGAGAGACAGACAGGTGGAGAGACAGGTGGAGAGACAGATAGGTAGAGAGAGAGACAGACAGGTGAAGAGAGAGACAGACAGGTGAAGAGAGAGACAGACAGGTGAAGAGAGAGACAGACAGGTGAAGAGAGACAGGTTGAGAGAAACAGGTAGGGAGAGAGAGAGACAGGTGTGAAAAGATAGACAGGTGGAGAGAGACAGACAGGAGGAGAGAGACAGGGAGAGAGAGACAGGTAGAGAGACAGACAGGTAGAGAGAGAGACAAACAGGTGAAGAGAGAGACAGACGGGTGAAGAGAGAGACAGACGGGTGAAGAGAGACAGGTTGAGAGACAGACAGGGGGAGAGAGACAGGTGGAGAGAGACAGGTAGAGAGAGAGAGAGACAGGTGTGAAAAGATAGACAGGTGGAGATAGACAGACAGGGGGAGAGAGACAGGGAGAGAGAGACAGGTAGAGAGACAGACAGGTAGAGAGAGAGACAGACAGGTAGAGAGAGAGACAGACGGGTGAAGAGAGAGACAGACGGGTGAAGAGAGAGACAGACGGGTGGTGAGAGACAGGTTGAGAGACAAGTAAAGAGAGAGACAGGTGGAGAGAGACAGGTAGAGAGAGAGAGAGAGACAGGTGTGAAAAGATAGACAGGTGGAGAGAGACAGACAGGGAGAGAGAGACAGGTAGAGAGACAGACAGGTGGAGAGAGACAGGTGGAGAGACAAGTAAAGAGACAGACAGGTAGAGAGACAGGTAGAGAGACAAGTAAAGAGACAGACAGGTAGAGAGACAGGTAGAGAGACAAGTAAAGAGACAGACAGGTAGAGAGACAGGTAGAGAGACAAGTAAAGAGACAGACAGGTAGAGAGACAGGTAGGGAGAGAGAGAGACAGGTGTGGAGAGAGACAGGTGGAGAGAGACAGACAGGGAGATAGACAGACAGGTCATTAGAGAGACAAACTGATCTATTGGTCACCACAGAAGAAGAAAGTTTTGTCAGCTGGCCACAGAGTCAACATTATGTCATAGTAGAAGTACTACAGTGTACTACAACAGTACTGCAGTACTGACCACATGTCGATGTGGGTGGAGTAGTCGGTGCTGCCCAGCAGGATGTCCGGCGGTCGGTACCACAGCGTCACCACCTCGTTAGAGTACGTCTTCGTCGGGATCGACTTCGCTCGAGCCAAACCTGAAACACACGGGACACTGGATCTTAGCGGGATCTTAGCTGGATCTGGGAGAGCGCGACACGTTGAACGCGACGACACGTTGAACGCGGCGACACGTTGAACGCGACGACACGTTGAACGCGACGACACGTTGAACGCGGCGACACGTTGAACGCGGCGACACGTTGAACGCGGCGACACGTTGAACATGGTGAAGCGTTCCTTCAGATTCACGCCGTGTTGAAGGAAACGCTTCGTCGGAGCCGCTTCCTCCCTCGCACCAAACCTCCTGACTGCAGCTGCTGCAGTTTGTTAGTGAAGCTGAGCCAAACTTTGGAGCGTTTGCTGCGGGCCGCCACGGTCCAGGACCGGAACCAGAAGGACTCTCTTCTTCACGCTTTGTTGATGTTCGGTCGGCGTAGCAGCTGCTGGCAGATCAGAGACACTTTGATGGGCTGTAAACATGAGATATGCAGGAAGTCAGGAACCGAGGAGCAGGATCCAAACGCACGGGTCTTAACGAGTCCACGGTTCTCGATACTCAGCCCTACTTACTGACACTTCTGGCTTCTCCATCTGGTCACTAGCGATGGATAACATTTACCTTCATATTTACTACATAACTTGAGTTGAGGACGCACCTGCAAACGTGGCAGAGAATTATCAGAGACCTTTTCATAACCAGGATACTCGGGTGCATGTACAGCTGAGGCCAAAATTATTAGCCCCCCAGGAATTATGGAACATTTTCCTAAAATCTTTCCCAATGTTTGCAGAATTGATAAAACTTGATATAATCAAACATTCACCAATGCTATTTAGTAGCTTTTGGTACACAAGGGAGGCTAACCCTACCTGTTAGCACATCGGCCATGAGGCTGATGTGCGCAGCTGTAGGGTTAGCCGGTCGACATGCGTAAATTCAGTGACTGATTTAGGTACAAACACTTCTTATAGTTGTGGTAAGGGTAGGGGCTTCAGGGGGCTGTCAACACCTTTATCACGAACGTAGCTAGCTTGTGCCACCGCGAGCTATCTAGCACTTCCGGTCTGTACGGGACGCCCCAGAGCGTCTCATAGAGTCAAATAACCAAGTTTTGTCACTCTTTCTCAAATCGTCGGTATATGACGCCCTGAGATGAGAACGGGCTGTCAAAACTATTTGCCCGCATGTGAATGTTTGCTTTCAAAACACACTTTATTTAATTAACCAATCAGCTTTCAAACAACACCTGTCCAGTCAACTGGTTTCCTAACAACACCTGGTTCAATCAGCATAAAAGCACTCCAAGGAACAGGGCACTTGAACACATTATTGAGATGCTACTGAAAAGACTACTTTTACTCACCATGTCAAAGACAAAGGAGGTCAGTCTTGATCTCAGACAGTAGAGGGTGGAGGCTCATGATAAGGGGGAAGGCTATACTGTCATTTCCAAGTGTTTCACAGTGTCCAGAACCGCCGTACGTTGCCTCTTTGCCAAGTACAAGGAGACAAATTCTGTAAGCAACAAACCCGGGCGTGGTCGTAAGCAACAAGATGTCAGCAAGAAGCCCGGACATCTGCCAAGATGATTGTTGCTGACATGGCCTCTTCTGGAGTTGATGTTTCAAGGCACACAGTTTTCAGGGCTCTTCATCGCGGTGGGCTTCAGGGCCATCGTCCCAGAAGAATCCCTTTACTCAAAGAGCGGTTTGCCCGTGAACATTTGAAAGCTAAAGATGAGTTTTGGAAGTCTGTGCTTTGGTCTGATGAGACTAAACTGGAACTGTTTGGGCACATGGATGTTTTGTCTTTGGCAAAGAAAGAAAGAGGCCTTCGACCCTAAGAACACAGTTTGCGTAGTTAGACCTTGGGGTTGGGGGCATCATGCTGTGGGGCCTTGTTCATGTGCATGGCATCATGAAAAAAGAACATTATATTGAAACTTTGAGGAATAAAATGCAGAAATCTGCTCGTAGTCGTATCCTTAGGTCATCGCTGGGTCTTCCAACAAGACAATGAATGACCCAAAGCATACATCGAAATTGGTCCAACAGTTCCTGAAGGACACCAAAACCAAGGTCCTGGAGCCCAGACCTCAATCCTATTGAGAATCTGTGGCGGGTGCTCAAAGTGAATGTCCATGCTCAGAACAGCTGGAACAATTTGCAATGGAAGAATGGGCCAAAATCCCTCAGGAGACCTGTGCCAACCTAGTAAAGAACTCCTCTAAGAGGTTGTTGTCAGTTGTGGCTCAGACAGCGAACACTTTTGACTATTAATGGCCGGGGGGGCGAATAATTTTGGACTTCTCATTTTTGTCATCCTTTCTTGTTTCAACTCAATGCATCAATAGCATGCCCTAATCAAACTTAGTGGACATGTAGTCTTTGTTGTTAATGCTCATTTCCATGGAGAAATCAAGAGTTTTGTATAATTTCATAAGTGGGGCTAATAATTTTGGCCTCAACTGTAAACGCACAAGTACAGGAACAAGTACTTTTTGGAAAGAAGTCATGATTTTGTTTGTCTGTTTTGTCTGTAGGTATAGTTGTAAACCAATGGTAGAAAATGTGCAGAGACGCTGTTTTACCTTCAGTGGGGAGTCACTCCACCTTCTGCTGCAAAGGTCTTCCAGGTCCTGCTTTCTTTGCAATTTGACCTTGTTTTAGCCCCTTTTATTGCTCCTAGCTTTATGTAGTTGTGTCTTCTCTTATTCTATATCAGGGGTAACCTCTGGGGATCAGTCAAGTGAGTGTGCAGATGACTCCTGCAGGTAAGACTAGTTGCAGATCTCTGTGGTCTAGTTACAGTGGTCTGAGGACTAGCTGCAGAGGTCTGGTGGCAGACTCGGGGCTCTGGTGAGGAGGGGACTTGCAGTAGTCCAGGTGGGAGACGACAGATTGTGGATGAGCAACTGGACCACCTCCCTAGTGAGTGAGGGCCAGATCTTCCTGATGTAGCGCAGAGGAATCCCCGTGAGCGAGCTACATTAAAGAGGTGGTATTCTGCTTTTTGGCTTTTTCCCTCTCCTTTATTGAGTTATATCTCTTTTTGATGCTGTAACAGGTTTGCAAAGAGAAAAAGCCCAAAGGGAGTTCCCATCTCCCTCTGCTCTGAACTGAACTGGTCGTGAGAATGCTGCTATAGACACAAAAATAGAAATAAAATGACTTAAAAACAACTAGATCACTTTGGGTGGCCACTGTAAATATTTTCAACTGTTTAATCCAGCAGGTGGCGGTGATGCCAACCGCTATAAAACGACAAAGAATAATCAGGCCCCGATCAGACAGAAAGCACTTTGTAGGTTCGCGAAATATGTTCCACTTCAAAATGGGGTCGGACTGTCAGAAAGATTAAGAACCCCTGATTTAGAGACAAGATGTTTCACTCCACAGCTAAAACGAAGCCTTCAACACAGGCTGAAGAGAGGAGCTGCAGCAATGTGCAAACCTGTTCTGGTTCAACCCCTAAATAAGATTTTGAAGCTGAAAATGAGCAGAATACAACCTCTTCAACTTAATCTCTCATCATCTGAAGTAGAGAAACTTTAATGCTCGTGTTAGGATGTCGATTAAAACCAGCAGCACACTCACCAAAGTCTGCCAGTTTAAGCTCTCCTCGCTCGTTGATCAGCAGGTTTTGGGGTTTCAGGTCTCTGTGGAGAACTTTCCTCCGATGACAGTACGACAAGCCTCGTAGCAACTGGAACAGAAAGAGCTGAGGAGAGAGAATCACAGGTGAGCTGCTGTTCAGACGTCACAAACTTTATTTATGGGGGATTTATTTCCCCTGAAGCGGTCTTCTCAGGCAGAGCATCCTGCCAGGCTCCTAGCATGTGTTTGGTCTGCAGCTCAGATTAACAGACACAGCTCCGCAGCAAGTGAGCAGTCAGTGATGTGAAACCTAAATGTGTATGAAGTGCAGTATAAATACAAGCAGCAGTATCAGCAGTGTTGACGGATACTTTGGAATGAATGACTCGCTGTAAACGTCTGTTTCTCTGCCGACAGAGCGCCACTGAATTGAACTGAATCGAAGAGTTTTCTCACTTTGACGTTGTGAACGTGGATGGTGTTTCCACAGTCGTCCAGATACTGTTTCAGATCTTTGTCCTGAAACAGACAAGAAACATGATTAAAGGCTGAATACACCCAATATCAAGGCGTGTGTGTGTGTGTGTGTGTGTGTGTGTGTCTCACCAGATACTCAAACACCAGTGTGAGGGATTTCTGCGTATGGATGATGTCATGAAGCGTGACGATGTTGGCGTGTTTCAGATCCTTCAACAGAGACACTGATGGAGAAAACACACACATTAACACACAAACACACATTTATACTAGGGCTGAAACTGCGATTTGAAAGAACGCGATTAGCTGATGGTGGTAATTCTACAGCTCATCTGACCCGTTTCAAACAGTCATGGAGTTACAGATCCATGCTGATGTCATCCTCGTGTGACAGATCTGCTCGCCAAGCAGTCGACTGTCACAGGTGTTATGCCGAATTTTGCACGCCTGCCGAGAATTGAAGGAAAATACATTAAGGTGCTGCTTTTAAAGGCTATACTATTCTTTGTGGGGTTCATCAATTCTGATAAATGATCAGTATATATTTTATGAACGATAATCACTAATATATATCTCAAACGCACCTGTAGCCTACCAGTTATACGATTTATTCGCCAGCTGTTTTCCAAAGTTAACATGGCTCTCCTTATTAGCTGGGCTCCTTACATGCTCGCTAATAACTGTTTTGAAGACGGGTCTCCGACATTGACAGCGTTGTGTTGGACAGATTTGTGCAGCGGTGTTTATGATACCAACCATTTAATTCACAGACGGGTCTGTTTTCTGTGTTTGCAAGAGAGAGAGAGAGAGAGAGAGAGAGAGAGAGAGAGAGAGAGAGAGAGAGAGAGAGAGAGAGAGAGAGAGAGAGAGAGAGAGAGAGAGAGAGAGAGAGAGAGAGAGAGAGAGAGAGAGAGAGAGAGAGAGAGAGAATGTGCTGAGCGAATATGCGCTGTGCCGCAATCAAGAACGATTTTTAAATGGGTCGCCAAATTTAAAGACCGCCCAAGAAAAAGCCTCTGTGTGGGAAACACTGAACGTCATATATTAGGCTTGTTTTGTGTGTGGAACATACGTAAAATCCGAGTTTCCACACGGACATATTACACCAGCAGCACGCTTTAGCCCAGCCCCTTGCTAACTAGCGATTTGAGAAGAGTCCAGCTGCAGCCCGCAGACAAACGTGACAAACGTGACAGAAGTTGACAGAAGTTGAACTTCCATATATGGTTCGTCCCACGTTTATCTCGGCCGTTCGGCCCACGCAGAGCCGTTGAAAAAAAAAAGCCAACGTACCAATCAGTGAACATTATGCGTGAATATTTAGTCTATACTATAATTATATAATTTTATTATATATATTAATACTGTAAATATTTATTTATAATAGCGTAATGATAATAATAAGCAATGTTTCAATTCATACTGTTGTTGTTGTATATTTTATTTGTTCCAAAGTGATTTTAAGTTTCACAAAGCAAGAATATTCTGTAAGGTTACATCACGAGCCAGATGTGTCTGGATTTAAAACTTTACAACATTACTGAGAATTTAATGACAGAACAGCGTTACGTTAAGTTCAACTTCCGTCAGGTCTGCAGGCTGCAGCTGGATTTACTTGAGCGACTTGAGCATCATGTCCAGTGCCAACCCCGACACAACTCTGCCGTCACCGGGCGCCACACGCCAACTTCTCCCCCTCAACTCTCTGTCCCTCCCCCCTTGGCTCACGCACCCTCCCTTCAGCCTAGCAGGAACAATAACAACTATCCTCCCTTAACTCTCTGCCAATCACAGGTACGAACACAGCTGATTGACAGGCTTCTGAACATATCGCACGTTCACCGACATCCTGGAACATTGGAAAACACAGTGATTACTGTAAACAGCTCTGCTTAGCTGACTAGAACAACCTCACTAGTGACATTCTGACTTAACAAAAATACCAACTAGGACTCATCCGGTCCGTTACAAGATATTTTATTAGCTCTATTTTATTTAGTGGTAGTAGTTTGCAGCAGTATTTTATTTCTTATTCTTTTTAATTTTATATAATTTATTTATTATGTGTAATTTGGTTTAAGTTTGTTTAAAAAATTGTAAACTAATTTGGATGTTTACAAAACTTCATAATAAACCAGCAAAAATGTAATGTTTGCATTTTTTCCCCTTAATGTACTGAAAATAAACCGTGACTTCAAAACCGAAGTACGTACCAAACTGAGATTTTTGTGTACCGTTACACCCCTAGTACTGTAGTACCTTCTCTGATAGCAGTACACGGAGCTCCTTCTTCATGTTCCAGGCGGATTTCCTTCAGAGCCACGAGGTTATCGGTCAGTTTACTGCGACCTTTATACACTGTGGCATAGGTCCCCTGCAGACAGACAGGAGGACAGAGACCAGCTGAGCACAAATCTTTCTGGAGCTTTCGCCCCCATGCAGCCCCACTTCAGCTGCCGTATTTAAACCGGAAACACAGGTGTGTCCTCACCTCTCCCAGTTTGTCCAGTTTGATGTATGTCTCCAGTTTCCCAAAACCGATCTCTGACTGCAGACACAAAGAGACAGACAGAGAGGGTTAATATAATGTACAATAAAAAGTATGAAGCTCCAACATAAGAAACAGGCAGACGTACCAGAGACACTCTGCGCAGCCGTCTGCTGATTGGCTGCTCAAACAGAGCTGGACCAATCACATTAAATTTCTCCAGGTAACCGTCTGGAAGACGAATGTCTGCTGGTAGCGAGAGACGCTTGTTAATGTCCTGAAAACACGAGAGAGAGAGAGAGAGAGAAAAAAACACCTTCATTAAACAACAATCACACTCTGATCCGGAAAAACACAACCGAGGCGAGAGCGCCTAGAAGAGGTGGGCTGGAGCGGTTCGTGTAGAGCGAGAACACAACTGACCAAGGAACTGGACCAAATTAAAGTGCTGCCTGGAAACCAAAGCCAGAACATCGCCTGTCAACATGGAGCTTAAGCAGCGTTTCTCTGTTTGTTTTGGCTTCGCTGCTTCAGAGCGTTCGCAGCCCTTCTCTTTCATTTGCTCATTAACCATTTTAAACTTCACTGTTCCTGTGCGGCGTCCAACATCTGGGAAATAATGTCACGAGGCGTGTCACCTCCTCGCAGCACCAAGTCAACCCACGACTCCTTTTTGCATTGTTGATGCCATGGAGCTGTCCCACAATGCAAAGCGAGACTTGCACATATGAGGTAGTGACGTATTGGCGTAAGAAAGGGTATGTGATTTGGTGCGCTTTACAAAATTGCAGCGTGAACACAAAACAACCGAAGAGAAATATTCTAATTAATTCGGAACATTTCAAAAAGCAGGGTCACCAGATGACTCAAGGACAAATATGCCAGTTGTAGATCCCAGCAGGACTTTGGACCAACAGACTCAAAGTTGTATCGAGGTTTAAAGATGCACCCGGGCAGAACCGGCGCCGTGCATCGACCAATATTTCTTTAGGGGAAGTGCGAATCAGTCAAGTGAAAAGAAGCTTCAGGCGAAAAGGGCTTTTGTGAAACCAGTAACAAGAAAGACCGGGCAGAGGTCAATGAGGACCTGTGTGATTCCTCAGCAGTCTAAAGGACACGATGGAGAAGAGAACCGAACAAAGGACTAACTCATCTAGCAGAACGGACCGGAAAGGTTCAGTCCAAATCAAGGAGGCAGAGCGAGATAGAAGTCCTCATCAAAGAGAAGAAACATGGAAGAAAGAGAAGGAATCAGCGTCTCACAGGCAGAACTAAAGACACGACTTGTTACTGTGAGGGAAGAAGAAAACGCTTTCCAGCAGGATCCTATAAAAAGATTTCTACAGATCTTTACAAAGAAGGAAATAACACCACTAGATGTGCCGCTGATCCACCATGTCAGCGGCTCAATGCAAGTCCTCCAAGCACCTGGCCCCGAATGGAGTCCCTACAAAGACCCGGCAGTCCTGCCCTTCTTAGAACTGATGACCTTCGAAAGTGTGGGATACCACAGACAAAGATTTAACCGCTTTTTTATATTTGAAGCTTAAGAACACACACCAAACGGTTCAGTCCAGAAGAGAATCAAGAGATGAAATCGTGAATCTCAGATGTTTGATGTTTACGGATCGATTAGCCTGTTTGTAGGGCTGCAGCTAATGACTATTTTCGTAGTCGACTAATCTGCTTTATTATTTATATTATATTAATTATTTATCCGACTAGTCACAATTAATTTTGTCCCCCCCAACCCTAATTAAACCATTTAACTAATTAAATATCTTTCAAGTGAAGCTCCTACCATGCAGGGTGCTGGTTAACCATCATGAGCAGTTCAGTGACCACAGACACTTGGACATGTGCACAGGAGGAGGTGGAGATCGAGCCGCCGACCCCGCGGTCAGCGTAGGACCCGATCTACCTCCTGAACCACAGTGCGTACCTCAGTAGAGATCTTCTTGTTTCTCAGTCTGACTCTAACTGGACTCTGAACGTCGTCTGAAGAAGAAGCCGGATCACTTTCTCCATCTGAATTCATCTTCACATCCTCGTGGACGATCTCTGAAAATACACACATGTACACAGTCACACACAGTAATACACACGCAGAGTACATGTAACTACAGCCACAACCTACATGAATCAAATACTACATGATTATAGTATTAGTATCCAGTGTGGAAATATGATGCAGGTAGTTTGCAGTATTAGTACCCAGTCGTGCCGTGCGGTTCATGTAGTGCAGTATTTGTACGTGTATTTGCAGTATTAGTACCCAGTCGTGCCGTGCGGTTCATGTAGTGCAGTATTTGTACGTGTATTTGCAGTATTAGTACCCAGTCGTGCCGTGCGGTTCATGTAGTGCAGTATTTGTACGTGTATTTGCAGTATTAGTACCCAGTCATGCTGTGTGGTTCATGTAGTGCAGTATTTGTACGTGTATTTGCAGTATTAGTACCCAGTCATGCTGTGGGGTTCATGTAGTGCAGTATTTGTACGTGTATTTGCAGTATTAGTACCCAGTCGTGCTGTGTGGTTCAGGTAGGAGCTCAGGCTGCGTCCGAGGCCTCGAGGTTTCCTGCTGTACGACTGAAGAAGAGACTGAACTGAAGAGGAGGAACCTCGAACCTTCAAACTTCCAGAAGAACCACGAAGAGACACCACCTCTGATCGGGGGGGAGTGATGGAGACATGAAGGAAGGAGGGATTATGGAGGATAAAGGTGTCGAGGGGTGATGAAGTGGTGGACAAATTATGGAGGGATGATGGAGGGATAGAGGATTATGGAGGATTGATGGAGTGATGATGTTGGGATAGAGGATGATGGAGGGATAGAGGATTATGGAGGATTGGTGGAGGGATGATGGTGGGATAGAGGATTGTGGAGGATTAGTGGAGGGATGAAGGATTGTGGAGGATTAGTGGAGGGATGATGGAGGATTGGTGGAGGGATGATGGTGGGATAGAGGATGATGGAGGGATAGAGGATTATGGAGGATTGGTGGAGGGATGATGGTGGGATAGAGGATTGTGGAGGATTAGTGGAGGGATGATGGTGGGATAGAGGATTGTGGAGGATTAGTGGAGGGATGATGGTGGGATAGAGGATTGGTGGAGGGATGATGGAGGATTGGTGGAGGGATGGTGGAGGGATGATGGAGGATTGGTGGAGGGATGATAGAGGATTGGTGGAGGGATGATGGAGTATTGGTGGAAGGATGATGGAGGATTGGTGGAGGGATGATGGAGGATTGGTGGAGGGATGATGGAGGATTGGTGGAGGGATGATGGAGGATTGGTGGAGGGATGGTGGAGGGATGATGGAGGATTGGTGGAGGGATGATGGAGGATTGGTGGAGGGATGATGGCGGGATAGAGGATGATGGAGGATTGGTGGAGGGATGATGGTGGGATAGAGGATGATGGAGGGATAGAGGATTATGGAGGATTGGTGGAGGGATGATGGTGGGATAGAGGATTGTGGAGGATTAGTGGAGGGATGATGGTGGGATAGAGGATTGGTGGAGGGATGATGGAGTATTGGTGGAAGGATGATGGAGGATTGGTGGAGGGATGATGGAGGATTGGTGGAGGGATGGTGGAGGGATGATGGAGGATTGGTGGAGGGATGATGGAGGATTGGTGGAGGGATGATGGCGGGATAGAGGATGATGGAGGATTGGTGGAGGGATGATGGTGGGATAGAGGATGATGGAGGGATAGAGGATTATGGAGGATTGGTGGAGGGATGATGGTGGGATAGAGGATTGTGGAGGATTGGTGGAGGGATGATGGTGGGATAGAGGATTGTGGAGGGATGAAGGATTGTGGAGGATTGGTGGAGGGATGATGGTGGGATAGAGGATTGTGGAGGGATGAAGGATTGTGGAGGATTAGTGGAGGGATGATGGAGGGATAGAGGATTTTGGAGGATTGGTGGAGGGATGATGGAGGATTGGTGGAGGGATTATGGAGTATTGGTGGAGGGATTATGGAGGATTGGTGGAGGGATTATGGAGGATTGGTGGAGGGATTATGGCAGGATAGAGGATTGGTGGAGGGATGATGGCAGGATAGAGGATTGGTGGAGGGATGATGGAGGATTGGTGGAGGGATGATGGAGGATTGGTGGAGGGATGATGGAGGATTGGTGGAGGGATGATGGCGGGATAGAGGATTGGTGGAGGGATGATGGAGTATTGGTGGAGGGATTATGGAGGATTGGTGGAGGGATTATGGAGGATTGGTGGAGGGATTATGGCGGGATAGAGGATTGGTGGAGGGATTATGGAGGATTGGTGGAGGGATTATGGCGGGATAGAGGATTGGTGGAGGGATGATGGAGGATTGGTGGAGGGATTATGGAGGATTGGTGGAGGGATTATGGTGGGATAGAGGATTGGTGGAGGGATTATGGAGGATTGGTGGAGGGATTATGGCGGGATAGAGGATTGGTGGAGGGATGATGGAGGATGTTGATTGGTTGATTCCAACGAAAAAAGAGAAGAAAAAACAAGAATGAAAATAAAATAAACGTGTCATCAGATCAGAGCAGCAGATCAATTAACTGATTGATTGACAGTTCCAACAGACAACAAATCTAAATCATAGAGCCAACCAACCAATCAGATCAGAGGGAGGAGTCAGGCAGACAGCAGAACTCACACAGCTCCACATTCACACCTGAGGCTGCCCAGTCCTGAACAACTGGAGCAGTCGGCTGTTCAGTGCCAAGCTCAAGAGCTCCTCAGTGGTGGCAATGAGGGGGCTGTTTAACATTGGTACTGGACCCAGTTTTTCAGTGGACAGGGTACCGCTTTAAAAGTGGAACTAGTCCCCGTTTAACAATGGAACTGGTCCCGGTTTAACACTAGAACTGGTCCTGGTTTAACACTAGAACTGGTCCCGGTTTAACACTAGAACTGGTCCCGGTTTAACACTAGAACTAGTCCCAGTTTGAAAGTGGAACTGATCCCGGTTTAACACTAGAACTGGTCACAGTGTAACACAGGGAGCTGTCCTGGTTTAGCAGTGGACATGGTCCTGGTTTAACAACGGGACTGGTCCCGCTTTAAAAGTGGAACTAGTCCTGGTTTAACACTAGAACTGTTCCTGGTTTAACACCAGAACTGGTCACAGTGTAACACAGGGAGCTGTCCTAGTTTAACAGTAGACCTGGTCCTAGTTTAACAGTAGACCTGGTCCTGGTTTTACAACAGGACTGGTCCCAGTTTAAAAGTGGAACTGGTCCCGGTTTAACACTAAAACTGGTCACAGTGTAACACAGAGAGCTGTCCTAGTTTAACAGTAGACCTGGTCCTGGTTTAACACTAGAACTGGTCCCGGTTTAACAGTGGAACTAGTCCCAGTTTAAAAGTGGAACTGATCCCGGTTTAACACCAGAACTGGTCACAGTGTATCACAGGGAACTGTCCTGGTTTAGCAGTGGACATGGTCCTGGTTTAACAACGGGACTGGTCCCAGTTTAACACTAGAACTGGTCCTGGTTTAACACTAGAACTGGTCCTGGTTTAACAGTGGAACTAGTCCCAGTTTGAAAGTGGAACTGATCCCGGTTTAACACTAGAACTGGTCACAGTGTAACACAGGGAGCTGTCCTGGTTTAGCAGTGGACATGGTCCTGGTTTAACAACGGGACTGGTCCCGCTTTAAAAGTGGAACTAGTCCTGGTTTAACACTAGAACTGTTCCTGGTTTAACACCAGAACTGGTCACAGTGTAACACAGGGAGCTGTCCTAGTTTAACAGTAGACCTGGTCCTAGTTTAACAGTAGACCTGGTCCTGGTTTTACAACAGGACTGGTCCCAGTTTAAAAGTGGAACTGGTCCCGGTTTAACACTAAAACTGGTCACAGTGTAACACAGAGAGCTGTCCTAGTTTAAGAGTAGACCTGGTCCTGGTTTAACACTAGAACTGGTCCCGGTTTAACAGTGGAACTGGTCACAGTGTATCACAGGGAACTGTCCTGGTTTAGCAGTGGACATGGTCCTGGTTTAACAACGGGACTGGTCCCAGTTTAACACTAGAACTGGTCCTGGTTTAACACTAGAACTGGTCCCGGTTTAACAGTGGAACTAGTCCCAGTTTAAAAGTGGAACTGATCCCGGTTTAACACCAGAACTGGTCACAGTGTAACACAGGGAGCTGTCCTGGTTTAGCAGTGGACATGGTCCTGGTTTAACAACGGGACTGGTCCCGCTTTAAAAGTGGAACTAGTCCTGGTTTAACACTAGAACTGTTCCTGGTTTAACACCAGAACTGGTCACAGTGTAACACAGGGAGCTGTCCTAGTTTAACAGTAGACCTGGTCCTAGTTTAACAGTAGACCTGGTCCTAGTTTAACAGTAGACCTGGTCCTGGTTTTACAACAGGACTGGTCCCAGTTTAAAAGTGGAACTGGTCCCGGTTTAACACTAAAACTGGTCACAGTGTAACACAGAGAGCTGTCCTAGTTTAACAGTAGACCTGGTCCTGGTTTAACACTAGAACTGGTCCCGGTTTAACAGTGGAACTAGTCCCAGTTTAAAAGTGGAACTGATCCCGGTTTAACACCAGAACTGGTCACAGTGTATCACAGGGAACTGTCCTGGTTTAGCAGTGGACATGGTCCTGGTTTAACAATGGGACTGGTCCCAGTTTAACACTAGAACTGGTCCTGGTTTAACAGTGGAACTAGTCCCAGTTTAAAAGTGGAACTGATCCCGGTTTAACACCAGAACTGGTCACAGTGTAACACAGGGAGCTGTCCTGGTTTAGCAGTGGACATGGTCCTGGTTTAACAACGGGACTGGTCCCGCTTTAAAAGTGGAACTGGTCCCGGTTTAACACTAAAACTGGTCACAGTGTAACACAGAGAGCTTTCCTGGTTTAACAATGGGACTGGTCCCAGTTTGTGGCAGCACGGTGGCTCACTCATTAGTGTCGCCTCACCACAAGAAGGTCACGACTTCGTCATGCTTGTTCCTCTCCTGACCACGAGTCAGGAAGGGTCAGATGCACAGAACTCTTCGTTGTCTGTATGACTGAGTAAATGAAAACACAACTTGTGAGGCTGGCCTCAGTTTTACTGGTAAACTGTAAGATTTCTGACTAAAATGAGGATCTCCTGAACACACAGTTAGCTCTGGTCTCTGCTAGAGATGCACTGACCGATCGATTAGTGCATCTCAAGTCTCTGCAGGTCCAATCTGGGACCAGGACCAGGTTCAGGTCCTGTGAGGGACCGTGTTTTTAGGTTTCTAGAAAGAACCTGATTTTGGATCAATATTCACATTCACCTACCTACTGACACACCTGCAGGAGCTTACAGGTCTGTGTGCGTATGTGTTACCTGAGTCACTGTGTGATGTCACTTCCTGGCTGTTGTTGTCACTCAGCGTCCTGTCGCCTCCCCCGGCCCCTCCCCTTCCCAGAGTGAGTGACAGCTGCCGTTTGATCTTCCTCATCCTCTCCATGAGGGGGGGCCGGGGGGGCAGGGGGGGGCGTGACGCTGAGGGGGGCGGGGCAGCCAGCCTGGAGACCACACCTGTACAGGTAAAAACACAGGGGGTTAAAGGCTAGAGTACTGAAATACATGATCTATAAGTATCACATAAACACTATGAAACATCGATACAGCAGAGTGTCGCGATGTTTTCCATGCCAACATTTTATCGATACAAGGAGGTCAAGTATCAATGTTTTGCTATTTAAATTATCCACGAGAATTTTACGTTTTGGTAGTATAATAATAAAATCTGTTGTTTTTGAAGTCCACTAGAAAAAGAGTTTTCCTTTGGGGACACAATTTGAAGTTGGAAAAAAGGTAATAAATTGCAATATATCGCAATATTTTTAAAATCGCAATAATATTGTATCGTGACGTAAGTATCGCGATAATATCGTATCGTGGGGCCTCTGGTGACACCCCTAGCTACAAGTGAATCTTTGTCCATTGTTAATAAAACATCTGGGATTATCTGTCGATAATTTTCTGGACTCATCGATTAGTTGTTTGGTCTCCAAAAAATATCATTTATTACTTTATTTCGTTTGAGATTATCAAAATACCTGATGATTAATTTAATACTTGAAAACGAATCTATTAATTGTTGCTCTGCTGAAAACCCCATAATACCTGAATGGGTATTTGAATGGAAACTTTGGAACACTGAAAATCTAATTAATAACCCTGCAGGAGTTGTTGATACAACTGAACTTGGCGCCATCTTCCATGTTTTCAGTCCCCGTTACCTATGGCACTGTAGAAAAACGGGTACCTTCATGTTTTGAGAATTTTGGTATCGACTTGGTGCCTTGGTTCTTGTGACATCCCTACTCCAACTGCAGGCCGGTATTTATTCTGCATCTACAGGACTCACTGTTCATCCCAGCGTGGGAGAGAAACAGCTAAATACTTTCAATAAATACTACACTTGAGCATCAATAAACCAAACGCTGGTTTGACCACAAAGAGACAGTAACAACGAGTTTATAAGAGGCGACAGTGGCGGTCTCACCGGGTGTCTGCAGAGATGTGATTGGATCATTCATGGCAGATCCAGGGTCAGTTTTCTCTGATGTTTGCTCTGTACTTTGTCTCATAATGTTAGCGGCGCTTCGCATTGCTGCTTTATATAATCACCTCGGTCTGCCGGTGGGAAGAATGAACATGTAGGAGTCCATTCTTTATTTAAAGCTCTCTCTTGAACGGACAGCTCTGACTCTGAGTCTCCTCCCTGTCACACAGGCTTTGTGTCTCACTGACTCGAGTCGCAATGCACACATTTGATTGGCTGAGTAGCGTCATGTGAGATGATTCTGGGTCGCTAAACCAGCGCCGTACAGGCTAGAAAAGCTGCGGCGGTTGAAATAGAAATATTTCGATATTCTACAATGACTTCAAGCACTAGAAAAAATAGATAGAAGAGCACATGAACATCAGGGAGACACCAGCGGACTTATTTCCCACTTTTCTGCTGACATCAGTGGAATAACCGGGAATATTTCTGTACAACGTCAACTTCTGCCACCGGGGGGACAAACAGAGAGTATTTTGCTTCTCGGAGACGTTGCTGTGGATCCATACAGGACTCTTCAAAGCAGATTGCACTGCTGCTGTAATGATGTTATTCTCCTGATCTGAAATATATAACACTTCTACTCTCCCCCAAATGACTTAGGCTGCGATCAGACTGCCAAAGTGACCCAAATTTTACTTTCTGCTGACATCTGACGCAGATCTGATTTGATTATAACAGTGTGAACAGCCCGGGTCCCATGGGATCTGATCTTTCACAGCTTTTACTATGCGGCCCACATAAGACACAGGTCTGATTGTTTGAAATGCGACCTCAGTCTGGACAGATTAGAATTCATGCAACTCTGACGTCACTCTACAGCGACCTTCGTCACAGTGCGTGCTACTTGTCTGGGCGGAAACAGGAGAGAGAGAGGGCTAAATGTAGCGCCAGAAACTGTAATGAATGTAATAAAAAGGACAGAAGTCATAAATCGGGTGAATTGTGACCCCGGGAGAAAACCGGGAGAGGGACCCTAATGAGAAACAGCAGCCTCCTGAGAAAATCAGAAGGGTTAGCAAGTATGAGCTAAGCTTTGTGGCCTCCTTGTTTACCTCCATACGACAACGTGCTGCGTGTGACATCGTATTATTCTTCTGCACACGTGGGCGGCGCACACTGGAGTCTGATATGGGCCTGCAGAGTGAACGCAGCCTTAGATCAGCTCGTTCTGGTCGGTGTTTATTTCCCACTGCAGGTCAACGTGCAGGAGGCACAGCACATGCTCGCCCACCAGATTTTATTAGGATCCCAAATTACCTAATCAGCTACTCCTCCAGATAAAAAAACAACAGATTAAAAACTATCGCGTGATTTTAAAAACATAAAGAGAATAATAACTAACAATATTCTTCCTGCACAACACAACATATTAGTATAGCTAATGATAGCGCTCCATATTAAAAAGTGTGGCTGCAGCTCAGGGCTGTTTCTCAAAGCTTGCTTCACTGCGTGCTTTAGGATCTGAGCTGGAGGAGAGTTCCATGCAACTTCATACGATACCGTTTACAGGCGTCTGTTGGAACGTCTAGTGTGGCAGGTTTGCGTATGTTAGAACTGAATGTGAGTTGACTGAACAAACAATTATCTGTCTGCTCTAGTGAATTTCTTATTCGGCAGTTTTATAAAATCGCCCCAAAAAAAACACAAGTGAATTTCTTCTCACTCCCAGACTCGTCACATATGGACGCACGGACAAGACCCATCGGCGTCAGTTTGTAACGCACTGGGGATCCCTGTAGCGTCACCGCTCAACACAGTAGAGGAAGCCCTGTAGCGTCCTGACGGTAAAGGCAGGTCCATGATATTTAAGAGGAAGGACTGAGTAAGGAGGTGGCTGGAGGGCCAGAACCCACGACTTTGAACCAGGAGACCGGGGTTCGTGTCCCGTGTGAAACAAAAAGTCAACATTAAATATTCTTATTTAAGTTACATAGGTTGAGTAAACTGCGTAAGTTACGCAAGTAACGTTACTGAACGTACATGGTTATTTTCACCCTAACCACGACTTTTTCCTAACCCTAACCTTGTACTTTTGGTGCCTAAACCTAACCAAACTGCGACGTTTCACAACTTTAACATCATGCCGTTCAAAATGTTTTGCAACGTTAACGTTTTATTTCGAAAGCCTAATCGGATGTTGCTAATCGTTGCTAACCTGACCGCAGAGTCCTGTCTAGTTTAATAATAGATTGACTGACAGGTTATCTACCCGACAGCTAACATGCTAACACCTGACTGACTGGTTATCTACCCGACAGCTAACATGCTAACACCTGAATGACTGACTGACAGGTTATCTACCCGACAGCTAACATGCTAACACCTGACTGACTGGTTATCTACCCGACAGCTAACATGCTAAAACCTGACTGACTGACTGACAGGTTATCTACCTGACAGCTAACATGCTAACACCTGACTGACTGACAGATTACCTACCTGACCGCTAACATGCTAACACCTGACTGACTAACAGGTTATCTACCCGACAGCTAACATGCTAACTCCTGACTGACAAACAAGTTATCTACCCGACAGCTAACACGCTAACACCTGACTGACTGGTTATCTACCTGCGAGCTAACATGCTAACACCTGACTGACTGACAGGTTATCTACCTGACCGCTAACATGCTAACACCTGACTGACTGACTGGTTACCTACCCGATAGCTAAGATGCTAACACCTGACTGACTGGTTATCTACCTGAAAGCTAACACGCTAACACCTGACTGACTGACAGGTTACCTACCTGACCGCTAACATGCTAACATCTGACTGACTGACTGACTGACTGACAGGTTACCTACCTGCGAGCTAACATGCTCACACCTGACTGACTGACAGGTTATCTACCCGACAGCTAACATGCTAACACCTGACTGACTGACAGGTTACCTACCTGACCGCTAACATGCTAACACCTGACTGACTGACAGGTTATCTACCCGATAGCTAACATGCTAACACCTGACTGACTGGTTATCTACCTGACAGCTAACATGCTAACACCTGACTGACTGACAGGTTACCTACCTGACAGCTAACATGCTAACACCTGACTGACAGGTTATCTACCTGACAGCTAACATGCTAACACCTGACTGACTGACTGACAGGTTATCTACCCGACAGCTAACACGCTAAAACCTGACTGACTGACAGGTTACCTACCTGACAGCCAACATGCTAACACCTGACTGACTAACAGGTTATCTACCTGACCGCTAACATGCTAACACCTGACTGACTGACAGGTTACCTACCTGACAGCTAACATGCTAACACCTGACTGACTGACAGGTTACCTACCCGATAGCTAACATGCTAACACCTGACTGACTGACAGGTTACCTACCTGACAGCTAACATGCTAACACCTGACTGACAGGTTACCTACCTGACAGCTAACATGCTAACACCTGACTGACAGGTTACATACCTGACAGCTAACATGCTAACACCTGACTGACTGACTGACAGGTTATCTACCCGACAGCTAACATGCTAACACCTGACTGACTGACCTGTTATCTACCCGACAGCTAACATGCTAACACCTGACTGACTGACAGGTTACCTACCTGACCGCTAACATGCTAACACCTGACTGACTGACAGGTTATCTACCCGATAGCTAACATGCTAACACCTGACTGACTGGTTATCTACCTGACAGCTAACATGCTAACACCTGACTGACTGACAGGTTACCTACCTGACAGCTAACATGCTAACACCTGACTGACAGGTTATCTACCCGACAGCTAACACGCTAAAACCTGACTGACTGACAGGTTACCTACCTGACAGCCAACATGCTAACACCTGACTGACTAACAGGTTATCTACCTGACCGCTAACATGCTAACACCTGACTGACTGACAGGTTACCTACCTGACAGCTAACATGCTAACACCTGACTGACTGACAGGTTACCTACCCGATAGCTAACATGCTAACACCTGACTGACTGACAGGTTACCTACCTGACAGCTAACATGCTAACACCTGACTGACAGGTTACCTACCTGACAGCTAACATGCTAACACCTGACTGACAGGTTACATACCTGACAGCTAACATGCTAACACCTGACTGACTGACTGACTGACAGGTTATCTACCCGATAGCTAACATGCTAACACCTGACTGACTGACTGACAGGTTATCTACCCGACAGCTAACACGCCAACACCTGACTGACTGACAGGTTACCTACCTGACAGCCAAAATGCTAACACCTGACTGACTGGTTATCTACCTGACAGCTAACATGCTAACACCTGACTGACTGACTGACAGGTTATCTACCTGACAGCTAACATGCTAACACCTGACTGACAGGTTACATACCTGACAGCTAACATGCTAACACCTGACTGACTGACTGACAGGTTATCTACCCGATAGCTAACATGCTAACACCTGACTGACTGGTTATCTACCCGATAGCTAACATGCTAACACCTGACTGACTGACTGACAGGTTATCTACCCGATAGCTAACATGCTAACACCTGACTGACAGGTTATCTACCCGATAGCTAACATGCTAACACCTGACTGACTAACAGGTTATCTACCCGACAGCTAACACGCTAACTCCTGACTGACAAACAAGTTATCTACCTGACAGCTAACACGCTAACACCTGACTGACTGGTTATCTCCCGACAGCTAACACGCTAACACCTGACTGACTGACAGGTTATCTACCCGACAGCTAACACGCTAACTCCTGACAAACAAGTTATCTACCTGACGGCTAACATGCTAACACCTGACTGACTGACTGACAGGTTATCTACCCGACAGCTAACATGCTAACACCTGACTGACTGACTGACAGGTTATCTACCTGACAGCTAACATGCTAACACCTGACTGACTGACTGACAGGTTATCTACCTGACAGCTAACATGCTAACACCTGACTGACTGACTGACAGGTTATCTACCCGATAGCTAACATGCTAACACCTGACTGACTGGTTATCTACCCAATAGCTAACATGCTAACACCTGACTGACTGACAGGTTATCTACCTGACAGCTAACATGCTAACACCTGACTGACTGACAGGTTACCTACCTGACCGCTAACATGCTAACACCTGACTGACAGGTTATCTACCTGACAGCTAACACGCTAACACCTGACTGACTGACAGGTTACCTACCTGACCGCTAACACGCTAACACCTGACTGACTGACCTGTTATCTACCTGACAGCTAACACGCTAACACCTGACTGACTGACAGGTTATCTACCTGACCGCTAACACGCTAACACCTGACTGACTGACAGGTTATCTACCTGACAGCTAACACGCTAACACCTGACTGACTGACCTGTTATCTACCTGACAGCTAACACGCTAACACCTGACTGACTGACAGGTTATCTACCTGACAGCTAACATGCTAACACCTGATTGTTATTTACCTGTATTATGCTACGTCACTGCCGGGTGTTGTTGTAACGTCACAGTACGTCAGTAACAGTTAAAGCTACATGTATGCTTCTGTGTTTAAAAGCCCCAGCTAGCAGCTAACAGTTAGCATACGGTCTGTATGTTGTTCTCCGGTTCTCTGTGGTTCTCTGCGGTACCGTCTATGTTCCGTGCGTCTTCTCTCTTGGCTACATGTTCGCGCATAAGTCCGGTGAGGACGGGACCCGTGTATTTCCTGCAGTAAATGTCGTGTTATAAATAGCAGCGGAGGCGGAGCGGGTTTATCTCTGAAGACATCTCCGTCAGAACGGTAATAAACGGTGTCCCTGCCGCACATGAAGCTCCGCGGGGTGGACGACTCACCGGCGGAGAAGGGGGAGGGGTGTTTGTCCCGGGTTTTCGTTGGCTCGGTTCAGTCCGACAGAGTCTCGGATCTTTCTGGCTCCCAGTAATCTGCAGCCATGTCGCTGCTCCGCTCGGCTCCAGTCCTCCTCCGGTGAGTCCTGACCGGAGACACCCGCCGTACCGGGAGTGACGTCACAGCACGGCGCCCCCAGGTCCGTGTCTCCCCCGGTACTTTATTTATTATTAGTGTGAATGCATTGGAATAGTACGGACTAATAGCATATATATATATATACACACAGTTTATTTATTTTCCTTTTTTTGAAGAACAAACCCACACAGAGGGTGTTTATAACTGTACAGTATATAAAATATATACATGTAGCCTATATTTCCACTTTCTTAGAGTGCATTTGAGCTTCTTCAGGTATATAAATTCAGCTCTTCTGCATTTTCTGCATTGTTTTGCAAGTTCATATCAGCTTTCAGTGTTGTTACACTTTCTTAATGTTTTCTTGTTGTTATACCTTCCTGACAGTTAACAATTTAGCTTTTGTGTGATGTCAGCAGCGCTTTGGCTCTGATGTCACTGCAGAGTTTGAAACAGAAGATGAAATAACTTCAGGATGATGAAAGTCCTGTGGGTGGGCAGCTCCATCGGACAGACCTGCTGTCAGAACAGGTGAGCCCTGGCAGGGATACAGGTGTAGGACTGAACAGCAGACACTCTTCAGGGGTTATTTATTAAAACAGGAAGAGTCACTTTTGGAATAAGTGTAGGCTCTCTACGTGAGGAAATCCACAAAAAAACAACACAGGAAATCCAACTAGCCATGAAAGGTTCAAAGTACAGTAACAGAAAGTAATCCAAGAAGTCAGGAAGGTGTAGGTGGTACAAACTGACAAGCAGCCGCACACGACAAAGTGACGAACTACTGACTGGCGAGGACAGAATGAAGATGATGACAATATATACAGAAAGACACGAGCAGGGAGGGAGATCCCACAGGGGCAACACTTGAGGGATAATCTGCCGATCAGCCATAACTTAATGACCACTGACAGGGGAGGTGAGTAACACTGATTATCTCTTCACCAGTGTACCTGTCAGTAGGCGGGATATATCAGGCAGCAGGTGTCATCGTCAACACGGTGTCCTCACAGCTGATGTGTTAGAAGCAGGAAAAATGCGTGAGGACGATTTGAGCAACTTTGACAAGGACCAGCAGGTGGTCATAATGTTATGGCTGATTGTTGTAAACAGGAAACAAAGCCAGACACAGACAGCTTCAAAATAAAACAGGATGCGGGCAGAGACACAGAACAAACCGTGACACCTGCAGCTCTTTATACGTCCGTGACCCAGCGCCCCGGCCGGGGGTTACAGGCCCAGAAACATCCCAACACATTTACAGACTAATCAGTACATGAAAACAAACAGAGCAGGGTGCCTGTTCTTTATTAAACATCACAGATCTGATAACAGACGGATGTTTTACTGCGTTTCTCTTAGTGGTGATGATGTCACAGTACACAGGCGAGCTGAAGCTGAGCCGCTTGGTCGTCCGAGTTTGGACAAAGTTTGGACTCCCAGCCGCTCGAGTCTGAACTCGGTGTCTTTAAACCATCAGGAGCAGAGAGACGGACTGACAGCTGTAGGATTAAGAAGATGATTGGCTGAAGCAGGATTACAAAGAACGCGCTGATCAGCACTTCTCTCTCCTGCAGATTCACTATCAGTTTAAATTAGAGACGTAAAGGAGAGCAGAGGAAACTAAGTCACCACAGCAGCTGGTACTGATACCACTGATACTGTAATACTGCTGCGAGTACTACCTTTAATACTGATGTCTCTCTCTCTCAGCATGTCTCTGCTCACGGCGTCGGTGGTCCTGGTCGCTCTGTATGTTCTGTGTCGGTGTTTGATTCCCCGGCTGGTTCAGTGTAACTCCACTCTGGCTCTGCTGTGGCACGACGTCCTGCTGGAGATGATGCTCGACCTCCTGGGGGGAACAACGCGACCGCAGGTGAGCTCTGACTGCCTGCCCGCCTCTAACTGGGATTTTGATTTTGACCTATAATTTCACAACCATCCGAAGTAGATTCACCACGAGAGTGAGATACTGTCTGTGTGATATTAACCTTGTTTTAAGACCCTCAGTCCTTAAAGGTCCAGTGTCTAATATTTCTGAGGATCTATTGACAGCAACATAAGATCCATGACTAAGTTTCCAGAGGTGTGTAAAGACCTGACATAATGAACCGTTGTGTTTTTATCACCTTACAATGAGACATTTCTATCTACAGACACTCCTCTCACAGGGGCGCCGCCATGTTGCGCCACCATGTTGCGCTGCCATGTTTCTACAGTAGCCCAAAACGGACACACAGCTCTACAGAGAGTTTTTCATCACTACGTTGAATGCGTACAAGAAGAAGATGGAGATATAATTGACATGTGAGGTGACCTGGAGGGCAAAACAACAGACCAACACCGCGACTCCCCGTAGAGACGCCGCAAAAGCAGTCAGATTTTATTTGGATCACCTTTAAACTTAAGAAAAAGAAAGTGTTGTCCATATCTGATCCATTTAACGTTACAGCATCCGCTGCCGCATTTCTGATGTTAAAAACCGCCAGGCCCCTGCCGCCGCTCGACTGCGTCCCACCTGGGGAATCCCTCACCTAACACAGCTTCGGCTCGTCTCCTCCTAGTGAATCCGAAAGCACGACAGCCATCCGCAACAAGTAAACGCAAAGTAACAGTGCATCACTTGCTTATTGGTTGGCGGGCAGCAGGAAATAACGTCTTTTTTGCCCTCCGAGGGAGCGTTTTCCTCGGAATGTGACGTCACGTGAAAACTATGAATAGTAGAAGAGAAGAGAAATTTGGAGAAATGGAGAGTGTGTCGGCCACCGAAGCTTCTCCTGCTCTTACAGAACAGTATACAAACATATTAAAGGTTTACACTGTAATAATAATAAAAACTTTCTATATTATATAAAGATATTCAAAGAGGACCATTTGTTGAAAGCTTTTTGCCTTGGTTTATAGGATCAGTGGCGAGGAATCTTGGTGTCTGGATTGAAAGCTGGTGCAATCATGTTTTTATCATCTTAGAAACATTTCTAAAAAGCGACCTTTTTAAACTTTTAAAGATACTGAGAGCATTTAATACGCTTTCATTTCTTCACGTTTGGACTATTGTAACAGTCTCTCTTATCGAAAATCTATTGTTCGGCTACAGTATGTCCAGAATTCAGCTGCCAGGCTTTTAACTAGAACCAAGAAATGTGATCCTATCACTCCTGTTTTGGCTTCGTTACACTGGCTCCCAGTATGTTTTAGAATTGATTTCAAGATTTTACTGATTACATTTAAGGCTTTACATGGTCTCTCGCCCCCTGCTATATTGCTGACCTACTAGTACCTTATATACCAGCTCGTAACTTGAGATCCTCAAGAAAGGGCTTTTAGTGGTCCCAGAGACCCGGCGGAAACTGAGAGGGGACAGAGCCTTTGCAGTTAGGGCTCCGAGGCTCTGGAACAATTTACCTGAGGAAATTAGGTCGGCTGAGTCAGTAAACTCTTTTAAATCCCTTGTTAAAACTTGTATCGTAGAGCATTCCCTGGTTTTATTTGATGTATATTTAGAAGTGACTTTTGTTTCTTGTATTGTTTTTATATATGTTTTTATGTTATAACTTTGTAACGGTGGTTTTAAAAAGTGCTCTATAAAGGAAAGAAAGAAAATAAAGAAATTAAATTGATATAAGACATCGTCGGTGTCTGCGTGTTGTTGGAACGCTCTGATAATCCAACACATTGTAGCAGCGTCCATGTTGATTCCACATTCAGGCTTAAGAGCACATGAACGCACACTGAAGTCGGAAACGGGACCATCCGAGGAGCACCTGAATGCACCGTGAGCCGCTGGTTGCAATTCTCAACCGTCACCACTAGATGCCACTGAACCTTTAAAGTGCAACAGCGACACCTGGGATTGGTGGAGCTCGCTGTTACCGTGGGGATGTTTAAAACCCTCGGCTGTCACGTTAGCTACTGCTAGCACTGAACTGTGCGATGATTTCCCTCTCTGACACGCTGCGTTTTGACTAATCACGTAATATTAGCATAACGGTAGCTACGCGTATATAGCTGAATAAAGGAAACGAGTAAAGTTACCTTCCATATCTGATCCAGCGGTTCTTCCCCGTCACACTCGTGGGGAACCCGTAGAAGCGACACTGCGCTGTGCGTTTGTTTCACGGTCACGATTCGGATCTTAGCTGGATTGGTTCACAGCTTAGAAACTCTTTATATAAGGATTTTTGGTAAAGTCAATGGATTAAATGAACAATTTCATTCTGGAACCGGAGCCGTGAAAAAGTGACAGTCTGTGTTTATAGCTGCCCGTCTGTCTCCCAGCGCCTCCTGCGGGCCGTCTGTGTAAATGCAGTCAGAGGGGATCCGGACAGCGTCATCGCGGCCGTCGACTGCTTCTGTAAACACACAGAGTGGGCGATGAACGTGGGAGACGAGAAAGGTACACACACGCAGTAATACACACTGATATATATACGTGGATATAGCTGCGCGCGTTGCTTTAAACGCGTGTCTCTCTCCGTCTTCGTCTTCCAGGAGCCATCTTGGACTCGGTTGTAATGGAAACCTCCCCGTCCACAGTGCTGGAGTTGGGGACGTACTGCGGCTACTCTGCTGTCCGCATCGCCAGGCTGTTGTCACCAGAAACAAAGCTGATTAGCGTGGAGATGAACCCGGAGTACGCTGATGTGGCGCGACAGGTCATCCAGCACGCGGGACTGCAGGACAAGGTCAGAGGTCAAAACATCCTGTAGCACAGAGACACAGCATGTGACGGTACTGTAGCCACGCGTTGATCAAGAAGAAACCGACCTTGCATTGGTGATCAGTGCTACAACAGTGCAGGCAGAGCAGTAAGTCCCTGCTGCAGCTGTGGCCACACGCAAAGCCTTTATGGACATTAAAACGGCTGGAAAAAAAGGGACATCAGGTCACAAAAGACCAACTGGAGCAATTTGCTGAAACCAGGCACATGTGAAAGCGATGCGTCGCACGCGGCCGTGTCGCGCACGAGTCGCTGCATCCGGTAAGACAAAGAAAGCACGAACATGTGGTGAGAGTTTGAATCGTTTGAACTGATTCGTACATAGTCCATAAATTATTCTGACATTCAAACGACCACCTTGAAAATCGCTTCACATCTCATCACAATAACTCGAGATATTAATATATAAGATACAACAAAATACTGACAGATCTTTGGTTTGGAACTCGCTCCAGCTGCTGAGCTCTCCACGTTCATACCAGGGGGTGAAAGCAGTTTGTTGCAGCCTTCTTGCACTTCTTAAATGTTACTGTGGTTTGTTCCGACCTCAGAGCGTTGCAGGGGTGCGACGCCAAATGTACAAACAATAAACATGGCAGACCGTGACAAACACGTTTCTTTGGCAAGTTTCTGCACCGTTAAACCCTCGGCGGTGCGCTCGGTGTTGATGAAAAGGACGGCCATTTTATTAAAAACAAGTGATAAACAGATGTTCCTCGTTGACTGTGTGTCCTTCAGTCAGCAGGAGTCGGAGGCTACGTTTCCTGATGTTCTCACAGTTCTGGGCGTTTTTAACATTTTCCTGAATAACCTTTGGTTAGAGAAGACGACTTTACTGTAACCAGCTACTTAATGACACTGGCAAAATGTTTCTACATGCAGAACAAGTTTTACTGTTTGATACGAGTTTGTATTATTTTAATTTAAAACTTTATTTTGCCTTTTAGTTTATGTTTTACCGTTTACAGTGTGAGCTTCCACGGGAGCTGCCGTCGTTGTGCATTACGATGCTGAAACGACATATCGTGCTGCTCCGCTTCAAACACTTCCTGTGAAGCGGGACTCAAACCTCGGTCTTTCAGGCGAGGACAGGCTGGAGAAAGAGCTTTCGAGGAGATGTCTTAATTTACAGGGCGGTCAGAATTCACATGTGCAAATGAATGAGAACTGTGAACGCCGAGCTCTCAAGCTGAGCTGTGCATGTTGGCAGGGCGCGTTAGAGGACGCGGGTCGGGAGACACAAACAGGACTGAATCAGTTTGGATTTCAGCTATTGAACGTTTATTGATCTGATAACCGATCGCTGACGTCACTCCGTCAGGTGTGCGTGCTGGAAGGTGAGTCAGCTGACCTGATTCCCAAGATGGCCGACATGTTTGGAATCCAGACGTTTGACTTTGTCTTCCTGGACCACTGGAAGGACCACTACCTGCCAGACATCAGGCTGCTGGAGGTAACGACCCCTGACCTTTAACCCCCCTGACCTCTGAACCCGCTCTATGTTCTGACCTCTGACCCCCCCTCCCTCCCTGTAGGACTGCGGTCTGCTGGCTCGGGGCTCGGTGGTCCTGGCTGATAATGTGGTCTGTCCCGGAGCTCCAGAATACCTGAACTACGTCAGATCCAGCCTGAAGTACAGCAGCAGGTTCTACCAGGCTCACCTGGAGTACACCAGAGTCCTGGACGGGCTGGAGAGGTCCGAGTACCAGGGAGAGAGAAACAGACAGACCGGTAGAATCCAGACTGAGTCTGGTCCAGTGTTTACATCTGGATCATGAACACATCAGCTGACGACGGCTTCAGACTCGGACTGATTCTCTTTGTTTGTGAAGGATTTTCTGATGTTCTCATTTTATGTGATTATTTGTTTGGACATAAACTTCTGATCAACAGAAAGTAAAACCGGGTCGTGGCGTGTGCGGGGACGCTGTGTCTCTAGTCTGCATCCCCACATACAAGTACTGAAACTCAATCAGACCATCACACAGGTTTACGTTCCAAAGACCACTTTACACTTTTTCAGTGTTTGTTGTGTTTTACACGATGTTTTCATGGTTCTAACTTCAGCAGCAGCCACGAGGAAGAGACAGAGAAACTTCTTTGTCCCGAGTTCAGCCGAAGCGTCAGTCTGTGCGCTCACGCGAAGTCAGGATTTCCCAGTTGAAATGTCTGCACAGACCTGGACCCTCTGCAGTGGCCTCGTGTGCTCAGAACACTGGCAACATATTTCTACATCACACAGAACAGGTTTTACTGAAAGCTTTACTGTTTACAATGTGCCTCTGCAGTTGTGTGGCGTCATTCAGCTGCTTCTCGTGCAGTCGGGTCCATGTTTTTTCTCCAAACTCCAACCTCATTGTAGTTCCGAGTTGCCTAGAGTGCTCCTCAGCTGGTCCTACCCCCCCACCAGCCGTTCTCCCTACTCGAGACCAGTCTTGGGCCCAATCCCAATGTCCCCCCTGAGCCCTGAACCCTCAGACTTTACCGACGTCACCTGGAAGGGCTCGAGAAGGAACGGGACAGCTCTTTATCACGTTACCTGAAACGCTTTTTATTTGATGCTTTCGCCTGATCTTTCTCGCCCTGCAGAGTGGAGGAGAGCTGCATGTCACCAATCATTAAAACACTGTTGTTGGTCGAACAGCCTCATTAAGCAGAAGCTAAAATAAATAGTGTGTAACGAGGTGGCTGCTTCCTCTGACTTCATGTCCATCTTCAGTTAAGAAACGTTACCATCAGCTTGTTTGTTTACTGTTTTCTTAACGCAGATTTGCAGTGATGTTTCTCTCGCTTCCCCCGGCAACCCCCGTGTTTCACGTCATACCGCTATGAACTGTGGGCAATTCCCTCAGGCAAAGTCTGCAGAAATGCAGACTTACGAAAAGGATCTAAAAAGGGCTCAAAATGTCCGCGAGAGGGCCCTCGTGCACTTGACCATTTGACAGTAGGGGCCTCAAAGTCTGTGAGGGGGGACGTTGGGATTGGGCCTTGGTCTCAACACCGGTCTTAAGACCCCTTTTGATGGTTGCATTTGTTTGGATTTTATTTCAAGTCCAGAACTTTGGGAATATCAATAAATTGCTTTTGCATCGTCTGATTTATTTGTTAACATCTTAACTTTGATTGGATGGAAAACTTCTTGCTTCAAATGCAACCAGTGACCCTAATTAAACATGTGCCGGTAACGACCGGTGAATTCAGTCTTTGTATGTGGATCTTTCAGATCAGTTTGAGACGTACCTCTGATCTCGTTCCACATTTCATTCTGTGTCATGTAATGTGGGGAACTGGTCTTGGTCTTGTCTCGGTCTCGGTCTGGACGACAACACTAGTCACGAGTAAAGAGAGATTTTAAATTGGGGCAGGAAGATGTGCAGGGCAAGTTTATTTGTACAGCACATTTCAACAGCAAGGTAATTCAAAGTGTTTTACATAAAACATAAAAGCAACAGGGAAATATAAAGTTTAAACGCAACATAGAGGAACTGAAAAAATACACATTAAAATCTAATAAAAGCAGCTGATGTAGAAATCATTTACTAAACATCCTCTAAATGCAGGAAATGCTCCTGATAAAGGAGTGTTTGGTCCAGCGACTGGAGTGCGTGTTCTAAACATTTAAATATTAAACGTCATTCTGTCAAGTGTGACTTTACAGACAAAGTCGATGCAAAGTAGAGCCGCGATTTCCTGTCGGGTTGCGCGAAGGTCACATGACGCTGAGTCGCAATAGCCTATCTAAAAGGAGAAGTCGAGGACGGAGCCGGGATAAAACTCCGTAGTCGGTCTGGATTCTGCTCTGACAGCTACGCCGTTTACTCGCAGGAGGAGCTCAGAGTTAACTGCTTTTATTAAATTAGCTTTTTACAACTTGATTCATCTTCACTGGAGCTTCTCAGCAGCTTCCGTGCACATCCGGCTCCACTGTTGCTGTTAGCGTCGTTAGCTCTGCTGGACTGCTACTTCATATTTATATAAAACATTAGTGGGAGAAAAGGAAGCGAGGAGGTTGAACTACCTGGTGAGTTCAGAAAACATGTGTCTGTAACTTTATTCCAGCTGTCGTTGTACTTTACTGTGAACAGGTTAGCGTAGCATAGCCCTGATCGAACCAAACTCCATTCAGAAAACAAACATTTTAGAAGCCGCTGTCCTGCTGACAGACCTGACAAAGCATCACTTCATATGATAGACAGGTAGAGAGACCAGGAGGAAAGCGTGGGGAAAAACATCCCATAAATCAATAAAAACACCTGCAGTCATGACCTCTGTCACCTGAGCGAAGATTTATTTACAACATTTAACACAGAGATAAACCGGTGATGTGATGACGGGCTGGCCGCCTGTACAGGTGAGTGATGAAGGATCAGTGAGGCCTGTTGTTTGGATCAGATCAGCTTTGTGTGTCCAGACTTCACCGGCCGCTCTGCACGGGCTGCTGCGGCGTCACCAACTGCAGAAACGGGGGATCCGTCTCCTCGCCATCCAAACGATCGAGGGAGGACTTCTGCTCTGAAGACTGCGAGCGATGCAGAAGACGCACCTGTAGAAACGACTGGATTCAAATCGCCTCTGAATGTGGCTCAGATGTGCATTTCATGTGTTTTCTCTCCCGACCAGACTTTCTAAAGTCTAAAGTCTAAAGCCAGAAGCCAGATTTAGGTCGGCAGCCTGAACGAAGACGCTGACCAGATAAAAGGAAACCAAACACCTGAATGACTCAGACGGCTCCGCCCCTCTGCTCAGACTGCTCTGTGATTGGTTGGTGAAGGCGGGCGTCAGCGCCAGTTCATTACAATCCGCTGTGAGAATAGTCTTGTCCAATCAGGTGTCTCCCTGCTGTCACTCTGATTTGTTGGAGTTGAAAATCTTGGCCAGCAGCGAGACGTTTGATTGGCTCTTCTGCTGTATAAGGCGGGCCTTGTCCAGGTGCTTCTGGGAAACAGAGTCTCTCTTCTTCTTCTTCCTCATCTGGATCTCGTCCTCCGTCTGACGCTGAGTGAAGTCCCACGTCCTGTCGTCCACCTGACGACCACAAATAAAGTTTTAGAACAGGCGTCGCTGTGACTCCGCCTCTACAGAAGCTGCAGGTAGATTCAGGTGAGTCAGTGTGTAGTTTGTGGTTTACCTGTTCTCCGTCTCTCTGTCTCTTCCTCCTCACTTTGTCCATGTGAGCACTCTTGTCCACGTTGTTCAGGTAGAAGTTGGTTTCTCTCTTCGCCTGAGACACTTCTGTCCTGAGTCGCTGCTGCAGGACCGTCTGCTCATAGGCCAGCCGCTCGCTCAGGTGAGTCCACTGGAACCTGTGCAGGTACTGCAGAGACAGACGGGTAGAGAGACAGACAGGTGAGTCCACTGGAACCTGTGCAGGTACTGCAGAGACAGACAGGTAGAGAGACAGACGGGTAGAGAGACAGACGGGTAGAGAGACAGATGGGTAGAGAGACAGACAGGTGAGTCCACTGGAACCTGTGCAGGTACTGCAGAGACAGACAGGTAGAGAGACAGACGGGTAGAGAGACAGACGGGTAGAGAGACAGATGGGTAGAGAGACAGACAGGTGAGTCCACTGGAACCTGTGCAGGTACTGCAGAGACAGACAGGTAGAGAGACAGACAGGTAGAGAGACAGACAGGTGAGTCCACTGGAACCTGTGCAGGTACTGCAGAGACAGACAGGTAGAGAGACAGACAGGTAGAGAGACAGACGGGTAGAGAGACAGACAGGTGAGTCCACTGGAACCTGTGCAGGTACTGCAGAGACAGACAGGTAGAGAGACAGACGGGTAGAGAGACAGACAGGTGAGTCCACTGGAACCTGTGCAGGTACTGCAGAGACAGACAGGTAGAGAGACAGACAGGTAGAGAGACAGACAGGTGAGTCCACTGGAACCTGTGCAGGTACTGCAGAGACAGACAGGTAGAGAGACAGACAGGTAGAGAGACAGACAGGTGAGTCCACTGGAACCTGTGCAGGTACTGCAGAGACAGACAGGTAGAGAGACAGACAGGTGAGTCTGTGTTGCTGTGATGTCACGTGTTGCCGGGCAGACTGTACCTTGATGCACCAGAGGTCGGAGGAGAAGCGTTGGGATTTCCTGGTTCCCATCGGCGTGTTGTGGAGAGACGCCGCCACCTTCTTGGCCACTCGTTTATCTCTGAACTCCACCCACCCTTCAGTAAAATCACACCTCCTCGACCCGGTCTTCCTCTTCCTCTTCCTCACCTGACTGTCTGATGGATCAAAACAGAAGTGATCAGATAACAGGGTTCCTTCTCCTTTCTAGAGGTCGTTTCCAGGACTTTTCCAGGACCTGGAGGCCTTTCTACTTACAGACGACATGAGGGAGGTGTCCCAGCATGCACCGGGGCAACACGGACATGGATAAGTCAATTTGTTTGAAAGAAGGAGAGCGAGAAGAGAAAGGCAGGACAGAGAGCAGCGATGACACGGTGAAGTTTAGATCTTAATGTGGTCGGAGTCGTCGGCGAGGTTCCCTGAAGGACGCGAAGGACACTTTCAAGCTATAATAACAAGCAAAATTACACCTCATTAAAATCTCAAAATGTTTTCAGCAAAACTGTTACTGAATTGTTTTTCTTTATTTTTTATCTTTTAATATACACACACACTGTTTTATTTATTTATTTTTAATATATTTTTATTTATTATTATACAAACTTTTACTGTTTCATTTACTTTATTTATTGAAATGTATAAAATTAATTGTTCTTTTGTAATTTATTTGTAGCTTTGGCAATATTGTTGTTTTACATTCAATAAAGCTGAATTGAAGATAATATATGTAATTTAATGAGTTTACATTCTTATTTCAGTGTCAGATGAAAAGTTTAAACAGTCTGAAACTTTGAGGAGACTTCTTTTCTTTTTACTCATTTTCTCAAACTACATTTTGTTTTATATTTTATGATGTTGCGCCAACGTTTCACGTGACTGATAATAATCATGTCACCATTCTTTGACAGTAAAAAAGATAAAGCAGTCTCTTCTGTTTGAAATGGCGTCCTGCTTGTGGTTTGCAGTCTTTGTCCTGATCCTCCAGCTGTTTGCAGGTTGGGATTAAGGATTCGTTGCAGTGACAACAGACTCGGGTCAAACCGTCAACACCGTAATCTGGACAACTTCTTTATCCGCCTACGGAGGAAGAAAGTTTAGTCCAGAGCCTCCCTGAAGTTTCCTCTTTGCTGCTGAGCATCAATTAACGTTGACTCTCGATCATTTTCATTATCGACTCATCGTTTAGTCTAAAAAATCTCATCAAACTTTTCCGGAGCACAAAGTGACGTCTTCAGTTTGCTTCTTTTATCCAAACCCCAAGACTCTTTATTTACTCTGTAGAAGATGAAACCAGCAGATTTTGATAAACGATTATCAAAACAGTTGTCGATCGACTCACAGTAAGAAAAGTTGTCTCCGTTTGTTAAAGAAACAGAAATCAGAAGTGTTGAATCCCCCGCAGCGAGTTCACGGCTACTCATCAGGTAGAAAATTATTCTATTGTCTCGCTATAAAATAAATAATCCGTGTTAAGGTTCGTTCTTTGGTTATTTCTTTTTTAAAACCATTACGGAAAACAAAGCAGCTGCGTTTTGTTCCATCTCCAACCAGAGAGAACGATCACCGACCGTCCGCAGCGCGCCAGCTCGCCCCCGCGACCTCCTCGCCCTGTACGCTCCGGCGCCCCGCTCCCTCTCCGGTAGACCTACTATGGGTTGTGTTGCCAGGGGAACCGGCGCTCTGGACGCTCAGTGGTCGTTCCCTCTGGCTGGATGAAGTTCGAGGCTCCCGTTTTACGCGCAGCCTGATCCGTGTGTTCCTGCAGCTGGAGGCTCTCCGCAGCGCCGCGAAACTTTCCGAATTCTTCCATCTCACGAAGAAAATAAAGGTCAGGAGGAAACGGTGTAGAGACGCTGAACGGACCCGAACCTTTTAATCCCTGTATGCTTCGTTAACATACAGCTCGCCGATTTAACGAACACTTCCTGTTTGCTGTGGACCGTTAATTAAAAACCGTGAATTAATTTGACCCTGAAGAAATCT